GACACAGGGGGCACAGAGAAGGGCACACTAGGCCATGGGTTTCCCTCACCCAGGGTCAGCCTTTCTTGGAAGGCAGTGGAGGCGCGAGAAGGAAAACGGAGCATCCACCACGGGGAGCTGCATTGCAGCAGCAGTGGGGGCCAGGGAGAGCCCCATAGACTGCCTTTCAGAACTCATGAGACAGAAGGGCTCTGGTTCTGCCCAGAATGCCAGCTCCCGCATCCTACTGGCCCCCGATTGTCCTCCTCACATCAGCCCCAGCCCTGAACTAGGGAAGTGTGTGGAGTCCTCCTCCCTCGCAGAAAACCACCTGTTCCCTGTCCACGAGTGGGAGGCCCCACACAGAGACACTGCAGCTGCCTCTGGACTTGGTAAGAGAGGACATTTATAGAGGAAGGAATGGGCCCAGCTGGGATGGCATGACAGGCCAGCAGGTGCACTGTGGACACCCTCCCAGCTGTAGCCAGGAAGCGCTGCCCACCCCACGTCAGGCAATTGGGCCAGGCTAGCCAGTGGGAATCCCCAGCTCAGGCAGAGATGGGAGGCCCACCCAGCCAGCAGGCTGGCTGGCCAGCCGGCCCAGGGGGCCAGGAGGGGCCTCTCATCTCCAGACCCTCCACCACCATCCAGAACCGCCTGTCTGTCACCCTGGGTGCCCCTCCCAACTGGCCCAAGACCCACCTGCCAAGCTGGCCTTTCAGCAACCTCCGGTGGGCCCCCCTTCTGTTTAGCCTGTACACAGGGCAGCGGGGGGGAGGGGTGCAGGCTGGGCTCTGAACCTTCCCAAACCTCTGCTGCTGGCATCCCCCCACTTTGTAGACAAGGAAGCAGGCTGAGGACCCTCTGTGTTTCTGGGATTCACAGGGTGGGCTTTGGGGCTTCACCAGCCTCACCAAGAAAGCACCTCCCTGGTAGGCAGGGGGGTCGGCCCTGCTTCGGTGTCTGGCCTCCTGACCTGGGCCTTTCTCATGGGATGGGGCTTCCTGAGTTCACCCTCCAAGGCCATGGGCCTCCTCTCCCACCTGGGCCCACACCCACCAGGCCACACTCCAGGACACTGCCTGTGGCCAGCAACAAGCAGCAGCTCCTGCTCTTGCCACAGCCCAGAGAAGGGCCGGCAGCTGCCACCACGGGCCCAGCTCAGCCAGGTCTGAAGGAGCCCCTCCGAAGGCTGCAGTTCAAACAGCTGTGGGCCACTCCCTGGCTCCCTGGCTTGGTCCCCATCAAGGCCTGCTTCCTCCTCCCTCTTCCTGGCTTCCAGATAGGGAAAGGAGGGTCAGGTGCCTGAAGCTGAGTGGGGTGTGTCTGCATTTTCTCAACCATTTTCTGGACCCTAAAAGAGACACACCAAGCCACGCTACACAGACTGGGGTTGCTGGCTGGTCCCCTCCCCAGCGCAGGACCTCCCTTCTGGGTTCCTAAGTCCTCTCCCCTCTCCCCCTGAGGGTTAGGGTAGGTGGCGGCCTGAGCCACAGGTGCCACACTGGACATGTCAGGCCAGAGACCCTGGAGGCTGGCAGTAGGCAGGACCAGGCCTCAAGGAGGGAGACTGCCAGAACATGTCATTCCCCAGGCCGGACCCCCACCCAGGCCTGCCAAGTCCCAGTCCCCACCACCTGGGGCCTCCCCCAGGACCCCTAGAAAAAGGAGGACAGCGATGCTGCGCTCAAGGCCCAGGCAGGTCATCTCCCCACCCGCCTTCTTCGCCAGCTAGACTCGCACGGAAGGCGCCGCGAGGGCCAGAGGAGGCGGCGCGGTCCCGGGGTGAGCCCGCCCTGCGCTGCCGGGGGAGGTCCCGGAAGCCCGAAGCCTGGCGCCGGCCCTCGGGAAGCACCGGGTCCCCAGGTCGCTTCAGGACCAGGAAGGGCCGGGTTCTGGGGCGTGGGACGGACGCCCACCGCCCAGCGTGGCCTCTAGGAATCCTCGGGGGTCCTGCCTCGCGGCCCGGAGTCGGACACACCGCCCGGGGCAGGGCGCGGGTGGCGCCAAGACCCAGGCGGAGGTCGGGAACGTGGCCGGCCGCACGTAGGCCTGAGAGCGCGCGAGCCGGAGCCGGGGACTGGACGCGGGGCGGGAGGCCGGAGCGGGAGGGAGGCCGGGGAAAGAGGGAGGCCGGGGAAAGAGGGAGGCCGGGGCGGGAGGGAGGCCGGGGCGGGAGGGAGGCCCGGGTCCCAGGGCTCGGCGGGCGCTCGGGAGGGGCCGGGGCCGGGCGCCCCCCATCCGCTGCACCGCGACGCGCCGGGACCCCCGCCCACCTTGCGCGTCGCCGCCGCTGGTCAGGACGCCGATGGCCTTTCCCGCGCCCGACGCCCGCAGCTTCTCCAGGTCCACCGCGGCCATGGCGGCGGCCGAGACCCGAACTCAGCTCGCGCTCCCGCCGCCGGCGCCGCGTCGCCGTCCCCGCCCCGCTCCGCCCCGGACCCGCCCCCCTGCCCCCCCCCCCCGGCCCCGCCCCCCTGCCCGCCCCCCCGGACCCGCCCCGGACCCTGTCCCTGCCTGCCCCGGCCTCGCCGCGGCGCCTCTTCGCAGGACCTCCCTGGACCGGGCGCGCGGGGATCCTGGTCTGGGCCCAACGGGGCGCCTTTCCGCTCTGCGTTCCTAAAGCTGGGCCATGGAACGCGGGCCCCGAGCAGCGAGTCCTGGGCAGCCCCCACCCCGCGGCCTCGAGGTGCGCCAGGGCCCGGGGCGGGGCTGGCCCGAGGCGTCCCTTCGCCGGCCCTGAGGCCCCGGTGGCGCGTCAGGCCCAGCTTCGCTTCTCCGGAGGTTCTTCGCCATCGGCCACAGCCACCGCCCTCCTGCCACCCAGGGGCCGTTGGGCTGCCTTCAGGCCTCAGCGGAGGCCGAGCCCAAATGGGGCGCTGGCGGGAAGCAGCCCGCATTCCTCCCTCCCTCCCTTCCTCCCTCACATTTGCTGGGCCCCTGGGAAGGTCTCGGGCCCTGAGCCCTGGAAGTGCAGAGCAGGTGGAGAGCCGCCTCCCTCGTGGGCCACGCAGTGGGCCTTGCCCTCGGGCACATCTGGGGTGTTGGGACGAGGCCCTCGGGCACATCTGGGGTGTTGGGGCCAGGCCCTCAGGCACACCTGGGGTATTGGGATGAGGGCTGGCTGCTGTGTGAAAGCTCAGCGGGCTGATCACTAGGGTTTGTGCGTTTTTCTCTACATATGCTATTTTCGGGAAATGGTGGCTGCCAATACCCACTGCTCCTTATTTAATCGTGAAATGTTAGGAAACACCCCAAAAGACTGCATAAGCACATGTGTGTGGGCCAAAAAGTGCTAAGAAGACACCCGCGTCTACCCGAGGCAGCCAGGTGCTGACATTTTGGGTCATTGTTCTCTCCCTTTTCTTACAGCTTCATCGTGGGGTGGGGGGGTGTCGCGCACATAAATTCTTAAATCTATGTGGTTTAGCCGCAATGAGATACCACCTCATACTCGTTGGATGGCTACTATAAAAGAAAAACAGGCTGGGCACAGTGGCTCATGCCTGTAGTCCCAGCACTTTGGGAGGCTGAGGGGATGACCACCTGAGGTCAGGAGGTAGAGACCAGCCTGACCAACATGGTGAAACCCTGTCTCTACTAAAAATACAAAAATTAGCTGGATGTGGTGGCGCATGCCTGTATTCTCAGCTACTCAGGAGGCTGAGGCAAGAGAATCGCTTGAACCCGGGAGGCAGAGGTTGCAGTGAGCCAAGGTCGCACCACTGCACTCCAGCCTGGGCGACAGAACGAGCTCTGTGCCTTACCCTGTTCACAGCACCTGCCACGGCTCGCAGCCTCTGCACCAGCTTCCATCTCCCTAAGGACAGCAGCTGGGAGAGGAGGACCCTGTCCAGTTCTCGGCCACAACCCGAAGGCCAGCTCAGCTGGTCAGTCAGCGTCGGTGGAAGGAGATGGCGGAGCTGTCATAACTTCCCCACCCACAGGGCTCCTGGCGCAGCCTCCCCAGGTGAGAATTCTGAGACCTGGCGTCAGGGAGTGGCCGAAGATCTCTCCTCGAATGGGTGTCAGTGTGAGACCCTGCACAGGAAGGAGCAGTGACTGGGGTGGTGGCGAGAACTCACAGTCCTTGGTCCCTCTGCCGGTGCAGAGGCTGCAAGCCGTGGCAGGTGCCGTGAACAGGGTAAGGCACAGCACTGTCCACGCCTCCCCCACCGTGGCCGCTGTGCCCTAATCCCTGGCATCCACCTGCACTCCTGCCATGCGGGCTCCCTCACTCAGCCTTTGCACTGGCCGGCACACCTCCAGCTCCTTTCTTCCTCCACGGGATCCCTGCAACCCCAGCACACGCACAGCCTGCCGTGCCCATTTCCTGCTTTGCAGAAGTCACCCAGTCCAAGGTCACCCTCCTTCTTTCCATGATCCACCTCTCCCACCAGAATGTCCCTCAGGCATCCCCCAAGTCCCAGGAAAATGCCCAGGGTACAGAAGTTGTATAATAAAGTTTTCTTAGGCTGGGCGTGGTGGCCCATGCTTGTAATCCCAGCACTTTGGGGAGCTGAGGCAGGTGGATCACCAGGTCAGGAGATCGAGACCATCCTGGCCAACATGGTAAAACCCCGTCTCTTAAAAAAAAAAAAAAAGGTTTCTTAAATGAATGAATGAATGGGGAGATGACATTGGAGCTGAGATGTCAATGATGAGAAGCCGGACTCAGAGCCCCAGGGGAAGGAACGTGCAGGCAGAGGGAACACCCCTGTGGAGGCCGGCAGGTAGGAACGAGCCTGGCTGCTTGGGGAACAGAGGGAGGCCAAGAGCACAGCCAGGGGTGGAGGCTGGGGTGGGGTGGGGCTGGATCATGCAGCATCTTAGGGCCACAGCGAGGGCTTGGATGTTGCTGGGGAGCAGAGGGAGGCAGGGGACAGAGCCTGTGGGCTTGTGGGTGTGACTCCTGCCCACGGGCACTGCTCTTCTCTTAGGCAGGTTCCCTTCCAGCTGGCATGGCCAACACTTCAGGCACCAGGTGTAGGAACGCCCCAAACAAATGCCCCCCCAACAAGTAACTCGAAACCACAGGTTTTAATTTCCAGGCGTGATGGCTGCTGTCTGCAAAACACAGGGCTGTGTTTGCAGCCGAGGACAAGACATGGTGCCGCCCCTTCTTGTTGGTCCCAGCCGGCCTGCTTCCAGGGCTAAGGGAGGAGGTATCCTTCTCTGCGCCCTCTGATCAGAGATGCGTGGCGTGAGGGGGAGCTCAGCGCCGTCTGCTGCCCCATGGGAGGGAGGGCAGCTCCAGGCCGCCGGCTATCCTGGCCGTCCGGGGTCAGGAGGGGAAGGGAGCCGCCTCCACCAGCGGGCGGGCCATGCTCTGGATGGCCCACTGCAGGATGCCATCAAAGGCGTGCTGCGGAACAGAGCAACAGCGAGAACTCCAGGTGTGCCCCTGCCACGGCCACAGGATCATGGCTTTCATTAGAAGTCACCGTCCAACCTTCCCTCTTAATTCAAAGGTGGGGAAACAGGCCCGAGGCCCCATGGCACAGGCCAGTCTGGGGAGGACCCATCCTGTGGATTTCACCGCACCCAGTAACCCGTGGCACTACCCCGTGGCACTTCTGCCTCCTCGGGTGGCTCCTTCAGGGTGGGGGGTCAGGGCCAGCTGCTTCTCGTTCTGCTCAGGAGCCCGATGCTGCCACAGGATGGGGCCACTGAGCCCACGGTGCCAGCAGAATAAGCCCCAGGGAGGCTGTGAGCCCACCCCTCCTCTCTCCAGGTATATCCGGGGACCCCGTCCAGAGGGGCAGCACTCTTACCCGGCACCGGGTCCCCTCGCCCACTCCCGGGCCCTGGGGCTCTTTCAACACCGGAACCATCAGGGTGTGTGGGGCACGCCACTGCACAGGGCAGGACCCCCACCCCATGGTCGGCTAGGACCCCCAGACACCACGCCAGACACTGAGGGGAACACGTGGAGGCGGGAGGAGCTCGTCCTCTTGTCAAAAACAGAGCCCTTTAAAAAGTCACATTTCCCCAGATTCTACCTCCCCATCGCAGCTTAGAGAGGCCGGAGAGGGAGGGGCAAGAACCCCTCTGAGGGATGGAGGGACAGGGTCTGGGCTGGGCCCTCCCCACTGCTCCACACCACACCCTCCCCAGGGAAAGTGGATCTTGAGCTGGCCTGGTGCTCCAGCCTCTGCCTGCCAGTGTCCAGGTGCTCAGGGGAGGGGCCGCGGGGGGCTCAGCAGTACTGGGCTCCTGCAGGGGGAGGGGACGGGGAGGCTCCTGTGGCTGGGACTGGGGGGCACCCATGGGGGGTGCCAGGGGCTCAGCAGCACTGGGGCTCCTGTGAGGGGGGCTGGGGGCACCTGTGGGGGCTGTCGGGGGCTCAGCAGCACTGGGCTCCTGTGGGGGGCCGGGGGGGGGGGGGGGGGGGCTCGGCGGCACTGGAGCTCCTGTGGGGGGCTGGGGGGCACCTGTGGGGGGTGCTGGGGGCTCAGCAGCACTGGGCTCCTGGTGGTGGGTGGAGCAGAGACAGCCTGAGTTTCCATGCTCAGGAGCGGCAGGGGCCTGCAGTCTTCAGCGTGCCCAGAGTGGAGAGCCTGGGTGGCGGCTGAGGTAGGAGAGGGGAATGGAGGAATGGCAGGTACCTCAGAGGCCAGGGGAGGCGTCAGTTACCTCGCTCAGGAGGGACTCCAGGTCATCCCTGTTCGGAGTGGGCTCCTGACTCGCAGTGTCGTCCTGGAACCCAGGAAAGAGAAGAGGTCAACCCAACTCCACAGCCCTCAGGGGACACAGAAGCAGGACTCCCCACAGAGGCCACAGGGCCTAGGGCCTCAGGGGTGCTTCCCCCCACCGAGATGGGAATTCTTACACCCAGCTCCTTTGGGGGCAGGGGCATCAGGTGGCGTGGGCATGAGGGGGCTGGGGATGCCTGCCCAGGGTCCTGCCCACTGGGAAACCAGCTGCCCAAGGCTCCCAGACAGCCTCCATACGGTGCAGCTTCCTGGGGAAAACGAGGGGACTCAGGGAACCAGCAAGGAGCCCCCACTCTGAGGTGGAAGCCTGAGGCCCAGAGAGGAAAGTGCCTGGTTCATGCCAGCCCCACCCCCAGCAGGTACCACCAGGGCCAGCCATGCCCTGGGTTAGCGGTCAGAGTGGGGGAGGTCCCCAGGCGGGCATCCCCTGCAGAGAGACTCTATTAATGGAATCACCCATTTGTAACCCAAAACAGCCAAATGTCAGCTCCTCCACTCCGGTGAACACTGGCAGTGCAAGGCTCTGCCACCCTGCCTGGCTGCGGGGGGGCTGCTGGGTCTGGAGGGAAAGTCCCTGGATGCTCCCTGGTCCTAGGGATGCTGTCAGGGGGTGGGAGACCTACTCAAGACAGGGTCGGGGCTACACACAACCTTCCCCAGGGAAGGGCGCAGGCTGCGGAGGGGCCGAGGCCGGCAAGACGTTTCCTCTAACATGGCAACACATTTCACATCGCAGTGAAGAGAAGGAGGCCTCTGCCCTTCAGAGACAGAGCCCATGGTCAATGACCAGGATCACTGCTTGAGCAGCCGCAGGAAGACTACCTGGGCAGGGGAGGGGCATCTGCTTTAGGCCTGGCTGGGCCCCCAGACACACGAAGGGAGGCTTCCAGAAGGAAGGGGACAGTATTCCACATGAGCCCCAAAGGGCAGGGCTTAGTCTGAGGCTTGTGCCATGCCAGGCCAGAGCCTGCATGCCGGGGCAGGATGTCATCCTCCTGGGGAGTACCATGCCAGGGTGGCCTGTCACCCTCCTGGGGGTACCATGCCCGGGTGGGCTGTCACCCTCCTGGGGAGTACAATGCCGGGTGGCCTGTCACCCTCCTGGGGAGTACCATGCCGGGTGGCCTGTCACCCTCCTGGGGAGTACCATGCCAGGGTGGCCTGTCACCCTCCTGGGGGTACCATGTCCGGGTGGGCTGTCACCCTCCTGGAGAGCACCATGCCCGGGCAGGCTGTCACCCTGCTGGGGAGTACCATGCCCGGGCGGGCTGTCACCCTGCTGGGGGTACCATGCCCGGGTGGGCTGTCACCTCCTGGAGAGTACCATACCGGGTGGCCTGTCATCCACAGTGTATACAGGGTGGAGGCACAACTGGGAAGGAGCAGGAGCCACATGCAGCGGGTGGGACGTGTAATCACCCAGGATCCCTAAAGGTTCCATGGCGGCTGGGACGTGCTCAGGAGGCCTCTGCTAGGGACAGTCAAGGCAAGAGGCCAGCACCCCTGAAGGGTCGTGCAGCAGGGACTCGGGCCTCCCCCACACCCAGCTCCAGGGCAAGCCCGGCCACCCCAGCCGTCACGGGTCTCCCCACCACCCGGGCCCTCTCTGACACCAGAGCGGGAGGACAGGAAGAGCTACTGGCTGGACCTGGCGTCACTTTGCCTCTATGGGAGGGCTCCGGCCACAAAATGGGGTGGGTCCTGGCCCCAGGGAGGACTGCGGGTGAGACAGCCTGGAGGGGTCATGCAGGGTGGGGGTTTGCTCCTGCAGGCCGGGTGCTCCTGCTCTCCCCTCACCCCACCCAGGGTGCCCTGGCAGACTCTCAGGCCCGTGCTGTGAGGGCCTCACAGCCAACCATGATCTCACCGTCACCAACCCTCGGGGGGAGCTTCTTTTTTAACTATATTTAAGCTGCCAAAAAGAGCTCATTTGATGGAAAATATATATAAATATGTTTTGAGATGGAGTTTTACTCTTGTTGCCCAGGCTGGAGTGCAGTGGCACAATCTCGGCTCACTGCAACCTCCGCATCCCGGGTTCAAGCGATTCTCCTGCCTCAGCCTCCCGAGTAGCTGGGATTACAGACGCCTGTAAATTTAGCCACCACGCCCAGCTAATTTTTGTATTTTTAGTAGAGACGGGGTTTCACCGTGTTGGCCAGGCTGGTCTTGAACTCCTGACCTCACGATCTGCTCACATCAACCTCCCAAAGTGCTGGGATTACAGGCGTGAGCCACCTTGCAGGGCCAAGAAGGGAAAATATTTTCTACAAATAATGAGCACATGGTTGGTGGGTGTGGCACAAACCCTCGAAGCTGGCACCCAGGGTCTGCCCTAAGACGTGCTCTCCCCACTTGCAGCCCAAGGGATCCCCACCCCCCGCCCCACCGGCACATGTGGAGGGTCCCTGTGGCACTGACCTTGGTGGGCCCGGGGCCCAGGTGGGCAGGACTGGGGGCCAGCACCCCCTCCACAGGGGCTGGGGTCACGTCTCCTGAGCAGGATCTGCAGCGAAGGCCTGTCCTGAGGCAGAGGAGGAGGGGCTGCCAGGCTTGTGGGGAGCAGGAGTGCCCCCTCAGGGGTACGGGGGTGGGTGCTGGTGGGAGGTGTAGGGTGTGGGCATGGTTGGTGAGTGGGGGATAGGTGTTCTGGGGTATGGGGAGGGCTGTAGGTGGGGCTGTGGTGTGGGGTGGGGTGTAGGGTGGGGGTGGGGGTGTGGGGTGTAGGGTGTGGATGGGGTTTAGGGCTTGGGTGTGGGTGTGGATGAGGTGTGGGGTGTGGTGTAGGGTGGGGGTGTTGGGTGTAGGGTGTGGATGGGGTGTAGAGCTTGGGTGTGGGTGTGAATGAGGTGTGGGATGAGGTGTGTGGTGGGGTGTAGGGCTTGGGTGCGGGTGTGGGTGAGGGGTTGGGTGGGGTGTAGGGTGTGGGTGTGGGTGAGGGATGGGGTGGGGTGTAGGGTGGGGGTGTGGGTGAGGGGTGGGGTGGGGTATGGGGTGGGGTGGGATGTAGGGCGGGGGGGGGTGGGGGGGGTGGGGTGGGGGTGTGGATGAGGGGTGGGGTGGGGTGTGGGGTAGTGGTGGGTGTAGTTGTGGAGTGTATGGCGTGGGTGGGAGGTATGGGGTGTAGGCTGTGGTGGGGGCCCCCATGTGATCCTCACTCACTCACCCTGCCCGGGGGGCGCCTGCGGGGAAGTGGCAGCGCCAGTGGAAGGCGGCGGCGCAGTGAGCACACCGCAGCGCGTCTGTGCCATCTCCACACACCCCGCACCGCGCGCTGGGAGCCGGATGCTGCAGGAGGCAGTAGTGAGGGTTGAGGAGGGGGGTGGCCTCCCTGCTCTCCCCTGGGACCTCCCAGGAATGGACGGCGGGCCTGGGCATGCGTGCGAAGCCTATGGTACTGATCGGAGACTGCGGGACAGTGGGACCAGTCTGGTCCCAGGAGGAGGGGCCTCACAGGCACCCTCAGGCTGCCGCCTGCAAGCCAGGAGCCCAACCTCTCTCCCACTTGCTAGGCCAGCCTCCTTTGGGGCTGAGTTCCGGGGGTCTCCTGAAGGGCGTTGCCCACAGGGCTTCAGTTGGGGGGGATCAGGCGAGGTGGGGGGATGAGGCCTGGTGGGGGCAGATGAGGCATGGAGGGGGTGAGGCGTGGAGGGGGTGAGGCGTGGAGGGGGTGAGGCGTGAGTGGGGATGAGGCGTGGGGGTGATGAGACGTGGTGGGGGGATGAGGCGTGGGGGGGATGAGGTGTGGGGGGGATGATGTGTGGTGGGGGGATGAGGCAGGGCGGCGATGAGGATCCATGTGGGATATGAGGCGAGGTGGGGAAGATGAGGTGCGATGGGGGGATAACGTGTGATGGGGGATGAGGCAAAGTGAGTATGAGGCACAGTGGGGGGATGGGCACAGTGGTGGGGGCGTGACGTGTGATGGGGGATGACGCAGAGTGAGGATGAGGCACAGTGGGGGGGATGAGGCGCGGTGTGGGGGATGGGCACAGTGGTGGGGGCATGACGTGTGATGGGGGATGACGCAGAATGAGGATGAGGCACAGTGGGGGGATGAGGCAGGGCGAGGTGGGCTCCCACTGGCACTGAGTCATCCTCCCTTCATTGTCCTGCCTTGTGCAGGAAGCAGTGATGCTCACGGCCAGGAGCTGGAGTGAGGGGAGGGTCCAGGAGCAATGAGAGGATGTGTCCGGGAGCCTCCCCTTCCCCTCACAGCCCCCCATGCTCCCCCCGCAGGCCCCCACGCTCCCCTCACAGCCCCCCATGCTCCCCACGCAGGCCCCCACGCTCCCCCCACAGCCCCAGGTCCTGTGCCACCCTCTTCTTCCATTTCAGGTGAATTCAGCCCTGTAGGTCCTGGGCTCCCACCCTGACCCCTACTCCCGGCTCACCTGCTGCCCCTCAGGGCTCACACACAGTAGGGGGTGCAAGGCCGAGGGGTCCAGCCCCGGCAGGGGGGCTGCAGGAGGCGGGGCTGGCAGGTGCTTGTAGATGAGAGCCGTGTCCATGCCGGCTGGGGGCTCCCCGAGTGGGCCCCTCACCTCCTCTCCCGCCGACCTCAGCCCCAGGGAGAGCTGGAACCCAAGGGTCAGCATTCTGAGGGGCAGCGGGGACCTGCCTGGCACCACCTGGCAGTTGGTGACTGCTGGGACCCTGAAACCCGGGCGGCGGGTAGGGGCGGAGGCCAGCGTGGGAAAGGCCTGTGGCAGTTCCCGGCCCCTGTGGTCCTCTATCCTCACCCAGCGACGCCCGGCCCTCAGGGCTGTGGGAGGGAACGCTGGGTCTGCACGGGGCGAGCTCGGTGGCCTGCCATCTTCGCAGCAGCAGCCAGAGGAGCACAGTTCTGGGGCCTTCTCAGTGCTCACTGTGCCTCCCCTGGGCGGGCCCCACAGCCGAAAGCTGGGTTCAGGCCGGCAGGAACCGTCATGGGGGCTCCGCCACGGGATACCACAAGGACCGGGCTTGGGCATTGGGGGTAGACAGTGCTATGGCTGGGGCAGGCCTGTCCCATAGGACTCCAGGGGGCAGGCAGACAGGAGGGGTGGCCGGGCCTGGAGTGGGCGTGGCCGTACCGGGGTCTCCACAGGTGGATCCTGGGGCTGGGGCTCCTCTGCTCCGGGCTGCATCTCAGGGACTGTCGCCTGCAGGCAGCTGGAGCACCTCCAGGTCCCACTGCTCGTGTGTCCACCAGTCAGAGATACAGAACAAGAGAGGGGATGACAGATCCCCAAACCCAAGGATGGGACCCCAGGGCTCCACAGCACCAAGTCCTTTTACAGTGGGGAAACCAAGGCACAGCGGGGAGCTGGGCAGAGACTCAGGCAGGGAAAGCCCAGCAGGGGACATTTGCCCGTGTGGAGTTGCCCTGGCCAGCGTGATCAGGGTCCCCTTGGCGTGCTTCTCTGATGAACCCCCGAATCCCCAGTGCAGTGGCCATGCCTGCCTCTCAGGGCTGGGCCCTGCCAGGGGCCTCCCCAAGCCGACTGTGTATGTCCCGGGACCCACCCCTGTTTCCTTAAGGGGAATGGCGCCCTACAGAATGAGAGGCAACCAAGGGCAGGGAGAGACAGGAAGGAGAAGGCTTCAGAAGGAGAGGAAGGATGCCCCCCACTGTGCCCCTTATTCTAGTGACGCTGTGTGACGCTGAGAGGGGGCCTGATGACAGCCACTCAGGGGCTGGGGCAGAGCCTCGCTGGAACGTGGGGTCCCCACTCCACCCAGAGCTCTTCCTCCCACAGACTGCCGCGTCCTGTGGGGTTGGGGTGGGGACAGGGCCCAGTGTGCTGTGCGGAGGGAGCGCTGGGGTGTGAATGCAGAGGAGGCCTCCCAGCCCCACTAAGCCCGGGGTCCTGAACATTGGTAAAGTCTCACCTGCCTTTGGGGGTGCAGCTCTGTGGCCTCTGTGCTCCCCAGCCCTGTCTGGGTGGGACTCTGGGGTGGGGGCCAGCTACTCATGAGGCTATGGGCTGGAGCCTGGGGTGGGCTCGGACCGGGTGGCATCTCCACACTGGGCCTCTGTTCTGCTTTGCTGCCCTCACGGGCCTGGATGTCCAGGCTGGGCGGCCAGTGTGGCCAGGCCGGCAGGCAGGTGGCAGGGTGGGAAAACCCCAGGCCCGGTCCCCACAACCCAGTGACCTGACCCAGAGCCCTGCTCCTTCATGGATGGGAGAGCTTCGGGGTAGCTTCCCTTCAGCGTCAGCGGGTGGAGGTGGCCGTGAAGCGGGACGCCGGTTTGCACTGGCAGAGGTGCTGGCTCACCTGGGGATGTCCTGGAGCGGCGGGGACAGGCAGGCCAGGTGGAAGGCTCGAGGGCAGCCGTCACAGCAGATGAGCTCCCCGCCGTCCCTGCACACGGCACACTCGTCCTCGTTCTTCTGGGACGGGGAAGAGAGGGATGGGATGCAGCCCCCTCCTGACAGCCACCTCCTCCCCGAAACGGCCCCCAGCGGAGTCTCTGGGGGGCTGAGCTCCCGGGCTCTGCCCTGCCCCTATGCTGCTGGGACCTGAAATTCCACCCTGACCCCCCCTTCCTGTCCATCTTGTCTGACATACACCTGCCATCCTTAGTGGGGAGAAAACCCGGTTTCTGAGGGCTGCTGTGTTCCGGGGGCCTAGGAGCTGTACACCCCACCACACGCCGTTCCTCACAGGGCAGTGGGGCCAGGCCCAGGGAGCCCCTCCTGACCTCAGCGCCTACTGAACCCTCCACCCCACCCTCCTGGTGCCCTGCCTGGATGGTGTCTGCTATGCCTTCAGGGGCCTCCCAGACAGAAGCCCCCCAGTCACCCAGACTAGGCTGGTCCCAATGCAGCAGTGACGTCACTGCGCCCATCAGAGATTGCTGGGGTACAGCCCGGGCCAAACACCTGAGAGGACCTCATTTCTCTGACTTATTTAAAATAATATTATAATTGTATATTATGAGGAAAAACTGTCTATTACGGAAAAAGAGCTCTACCCTGTGGGGAGGGGCTCGGGCCCTGGTGCTCGTGCCTGAGTGCCTGGGACAAGACAGAGGCAGCAGGGCCTGCCCGAGGGGAGCTGGGGCAGACAGGGCCCTCCTGTGCTCTAGGGTGTTACCTGGTGGGGCTGGGGGTCACCGGGGAGGGCCGGAGGGGCGGGAACCCTGCCCTGCTGGCCCAGCCTAGGCTCACCTCCACCCTGCAAGGAAGAGAGCGTCAGCAATGGGGGCAGCCTGGGCAGCGAGGGTGCACATGGCTGTGGTGCCAGGCGTCTCGGCAGCAGCCCCCAGCCCCCAGCAGAGCCATTGCCCCGGAGGCCACGCTGTTCCTGGGTGGGGGTATATCAGGAGCCGGGCTCCCCAGGGACAGGCGGTGCTTACGGAGGCAGCGCCCTGGGCTCCCTTGGCTCGAACCAGAGGCTTCAGGCCACCGCTGCTGCGGGCCTTGCTCTTCCCACCAGGATCTTCGAACTTGCTGGGAGTGTAAAACTCCCCCCCGACCTGGATGCACTTCTTGGAGCTCCCTGGGAGGAGACACTGTCTGGTGCTGCGTCACCCCCCCAGCAGGACCTGCCTTGGTGGTGGTGCAGGCTGTGGGCTGGGGCCTCCCAGGGACAAGTGGCGTTCCCCAGCCTGCATTCCTCCAGCCCACCCCCACCCCCCAGCGACTCAGGCCCGAGGATTGTCCTGGGGCTGTCTGCACAAGGGGGTTCAACAGTGTCCCCCAAAGTTCACATCCACCCAAACCTCAGAGTGTGACCTTACTTAGAACTGGGGTCTTCCCAGATGTGATTAGTTAACATGAGGTCGCACTGGACCATAAGTTCAATCACTGGTGTCCTTACAAAAATGGGACACACAAGAGATAGCTGTGTGACCGCAGAGGCAGAGCCTGGAGCGGTAGGGTCCTGAGCCCGGGAGGAAGGGCACGGGCACCCCCATAACAGCCAGCAGCTGGGAGGGACAAGGAAAGACTTCCCTCGAGCCCCCAGAGGAGCGCGGCCGGGACACCCGGACCTTGGCATTCTGTTGTTTTAAGCCTCCAGCTTGTGCCAACTTGGTCCAACAGCCTTAGGAAGTAACACAGGGGCCTGGGGCCCTCCCAGAGGTGCAACATCAGGGCCCCGGCTGCCCTCGGTGTCCCCAGCCCGTATCCAGCACCAAAGAGACGCCGGGCAGGGACTGTAGATCAAATGCCCCAATGGCATGGTGGGCCTGCCGCCAGCAGCCCTGCTGTGCCTTGGTCAGATGGTGCTGGTGATTGCATGGGGTCGGCGGCTGGCCAGGGTATGGGGGCAAGGGCACTGTAGGTTGCCTACGGTATGGGGGTGAGGGCGCTGCAGGTTGCCTATGGTATGGGAGCGAGGGCGCCGCGGGCTGTCCTGGTTGGAATGCAGACTCCCTGGAGGTCCTCATCAGCACCAGCAGAACTTTCTAAGAATGCAATCCCATGGCCCAGGAGGGCCCTTGTGGATGGATGAAGGTGATGGGGAGTGCTGTGCACACCAAGCTGGGATGCATGCCTGGACCACCAGCCTCACCGAAGACCCCCCGAAAGGGAGACGTCAGTGCCCACCCTTCTCCTCCAAAGTCAGAACCACAGGCAGAAACTCTGGCTACCTGAGCCACAGCTCTGTGCAGTAGGACCACGAGGGTGCGGAGTCCTCCTTCCATCTTGGGGCCTGGGTCTCCCCGTCAGCCGCACTCCCCACCACAGCGCCTACCTGACTCAAACACCTGCTGGATGAGGATCCCCTCCACGGCTCCTCGGGTTCCCGGGACGTCCCCGGAGGACACGGTCACAGCTCTCTGGACTGAAGCTGACATGGTCTGAATCCCTGGGAAAGGGACCATCCATTGGGGTCACCAGTGGGGAAGACTGTTTCCAAGCACATCCTCCGTGCCAGGAGCAGGTGGTACCTGGATGCAGAGGCCTCTCCTTCCAGCCAGGGCAGGCCGAGGAGGGGACCCAGTCCTGCCATGTGCAGACAGCCCACAGGTAAGCGCAGAGACATGCGAATGTGTGTGTTCATGTGTGCACTCGTGTGTGTGTGCTGGGGGTGGCACTGTCAGCACAGCTGGCGCATGGATAGGAAGGAATGACTAATGACCAGGCCCCCCATGACATGGTTGTGTTGGGAGGGACACAGAGTTCCTAGTCTCTGCCCTCAGGGAGGACAGCGGTGGGCACAGGGTGTCTCTGGGGTCCAGTGCCCTGGGAAGGAATGAGAGGGAATTGGGAAGGGTCCAGTCTGCATGCAGCTGGGGGCCAGGGATGATTTTCTGGAGGAAGCAGTGTCTGGACTCATCCTGGAGGATAGGGAATGGACGGGCAGAAGTGGGGTGCCTGAGAAGGGGGTCCCAGAACTGGGGTGCAGTGGGGGCAGAGGTGACTGGCAAGATCATGCTTGGAGCCAGGGTGTCTCCTTCCTGGGTCTAGCGGTGCCGCTCAGGCCCTTGGGATGGCCCTTGCATGCCAGGCCAGCACATTCCCAGTCCCCAGGACAGGCCCTCAGAGGGCAGGCCCTGCTCTGACCCCTGACCCCTTGCCCCTGGCCAGGGAGAAGGGAGGCGCTCCCCCTGGGCCCTGCTCACCATTCCCGAGCGGAAGGCGCTGCTGCTCTGCGCTGCTCTCTGGCTTCCTGGGGGGCTTGGCCTTCAGCTGAGAGCCTGAATGGGGGAGCTGGGGGCAGCCTTGCCTCCCTTTCAGTGGGGGTAAGTGCTAGTGGGCAGGGGCCCAAGGTGGGAGGGTGTGGAGTGGGGTCCAGTCCTGGGTATCCCGGCCTCCCGTGGGTCCTTCCCTTTGAAGGGCTCTGGTTTCCCCTCAGTAGAAAGCAGATAAAACCCACGTGCCTACTTCGCCAGCCCTGGGGAGCTCAGCCTTCGGGCAGGAAGGGGCTGAGAGGCTGGTCCAGTGTGTGGGTCTAGTACCCAGAGGGGACCTCCACAGCCCCAGGCAGGCTGGCTCCACCCCAGTGAGGGGAAGCCCGGGTGGGGAGGGGGCACAGGCTCCCAGGAAGACTGGAACCCCCACCTGGCTTCCCCTACTGGGTACCTGGGCTGCAGGTGGTCCTTGGATTCAGGGTGGCTGGCGCGGCAGCTCGAGCCTCTTCTGCGGCCTTCCTCTTGGTGGGGAGCCTGGGTGGCGGCACCAAAGCCTTGGGGATGGCCGGGGGCTTCCTCCCCTTCCGGGGCTGGCTGAGGTCCACATCTGCAGCTCAGGGGCAGAAGCAGGGTCCCAGCCTCAGAGTTTTCTGCAGGGGGGGCTGGGCCCCAGAACTGGACACCCTGGCCACGTGGGTGAGGCCTGGGCACTTTGCCTGTTAGGATCCAAGCCCATCCTGGGGTATCACCCACGGCCTCCCCAAACACCACTCCAGCTCCAGTCCAGCTGGGCTGAGCGGGTGACAGCAGCTGCCCCAGGCACCCTGGCAGCCAGGCACACCAGCACCCACCTTTGGGGAAGCTGTCGAGGATGGGCTGCAGCCGGCCATAGCGCTCCACGTTGAAGTCCTTGAACAGAACCCTCCAGAAGTCCAGGATGGCTGTGGAGTCCTGGGTCAGCAGCCAGGACAGGAGGGCGTGGAAGGCCTGGGGGCAGCCCTCCTTCTCCTTCAGACGAAGCGTCTCCTGCAGTGGGTGGCATGAGGGTCCCTGCCATGGTCACCTAACCCTGCAGCCTGCCTGTCTTCACTGTGACTAGAGGGGGCTCTCCCACGCAGAGTCACTGGAGACCTGGGCACCTCCATACCCATCTCCTTGGTTTGTGGTGGGATCAGGTGGTGGCACAGGGTGTTGAGGGTGGGGGCCGGGGAAACTCGTCCTGGAGGCCATTCCTTTGGCTTGGGGGTGAGGTGTGGGGGTGGCTGGGGAAAGGGAGCCAACTTTTTTTTTTTGAGACAGTTTTGCTCTTGTTGCCCAGGCTGGAGTGCAGTGGCGTGGTATCGGCTCATTGCAACCTCCGCCTCCTGGGTAAGCAATTCTCCTGCCTCAGCCTCCTGAGTAACTAAGATTATAGGCATGTGCCACCGTGCCCAGCTAAGTTTTTTTGTATTTTCAGAAGAGATGGGGTTTCTCCATGTTGGCCAGGCTGGTCTCAAACCCCCAACTTCAGGTGATCCGCCCACCTTGGCCTCTCAGAGTGCTGGGATTACAGGTGTGAACCACTGCACTCGGCCTTTTTTTTTTTTTTGAGATGGAGTTTCACTCTTGTTGCCCAGGCTGGAGTGCAATGGCGTGATCTCTGCTTACTGCAACCTCCGCCCCCCGGGTTTAAGTGATTCTCCTTCCTCAGCTTTCCAAATAGCTAGGATTACAGGCGACTGCCACCATGCCCAGCTAATTTTGAATTTTTAGTAGAGATGAGGTTTCTACATGTTGGTCAGGCTGGTCTCGAACTCCAAACCTCAGGTGATCTGCCCGCTTCGGCCTCCCAAAGTGCTGGGACTACAGACCTGAGCCACTGTGCCCCGCCTGGGGGGACTGGAGGAACTGGGAGGCTCGGGGTGGGGTCCTCCTGGAATTTCCCTGGGGACTGCCCCTGACTTACAGGGCCTGGGGGCAGGGTAGGGCGGGGGCCCACCTGGAACTTGTCCTCGGGGACCACGTCGTAGTCAGCCAGCGCGTGCAGCAGGGGAAAGGCGCTGTCCACCGCCACCGCGATCTCCGTGCGGTGCAGCCTCAGGAGCCGGCGCAGCACCGCGTCCGCCATGGGGTCTGCTCGGGGCTGGGCGGGGGTCCCGGGATGCTGGCAGTCCCTCTCCTTGCCTCGGGTCCCCGGCGGGCCTGTGGGGCGTCCGCGCCGGCTGTGCACCCGTGTCCCCCGCCTGCCAGCCCCGCGCACCCCTGTTATACCCCCGTGACCAGGCAAAGCGCAAAGGTAGCTCCGCCCGGTGCCCAATCAGGGCCAGAGCCTCAGCCTCCCTGCGGCGGGGACGCTTCCGTGTGATGGAGGCGCTGCTCTCCCTCGCGCAGCCTGACTCACCCACCGGGGCAACTGCCTTGGGGGCTGGGGACTGAGACTTGCTCTGGGAGGGGCTCAAAGGCCTCTGGCTTCCACAATGTGGCCCTGGCCTGCCTCCCCGAGGGCCCTGCTGGAATGTGGCAAAGACGGGACAGCTGCCCTCGGTGGGGAGGCTCGGTGCTCAGGGGCCTGACAGGGGCTGCCGGAGTGCACTGGCCCCTCCAAGTGGCCTGCATGAGCCTCCACGGAGGCTAGATTAGGGTGGCATCCCTGGGGTACCTCCACACAAGCTGAGAGCCCCACTCAGGAGCCCGCCTGGGGCTGTGGGAGGAGCCGGATGCAGGGTCCCAGTCTGATGGAGGAGACTGTAGGGCTGGTGTCCCACCCTAGGCAGCCCTGGGCGATGCCAGGGAGGCTCCTGATTTCGCCACCCTAGGCTGGCCGTGTGACACCAGGCAAGTCCTTTCCTCCTCTGAGCTTCGGTTCCCTCATCTTCAAAAGGGGTATATTCGCCTGGGGATGGAGGTTCCCATTGACCCCACCTACATCCTTCCTCCAGGTGCTTTAGAAGGAAGGCAGCTGGCCCCATGGTGGAGGCCCTGAGCGTGGCCCTGAGTGTGAGCTCCCGAGGGGCCTTCCTAGGACCAGTGACAGAGGCTGAGGGACACTGTGGCTCAGACAGGAGCTTCAGGGGCATCTGGGAAGACGTCCCAGAGAGGAGCTACAGTGGACAGGAGAAGAGGGTCTCAGGTGGACGTGGGTGGGGACAGTGCCCCCAGTAAAGCAGGAGCAAGGGCAGAGGCCTGGGGCCTGCAAGGATGCTGAACCCATGGTGGCCCCGCAGGCATGGCCTCGAGGGGGCTGGCCTCAGCGGGAGGCCTTGGTGACATAGACCCCTTGTCTGTGCAGTCAGACAGCGAGGCAGGCCCTGTGTGCAGGCTGCAGAGAACCACGAAGGACTCTGGGTGCAGTGTTCCCCCTAAGCCTGAGAAGGAAGCGTCCTGCCCAGTATGGGTCAGGGCTGAGGAGTGACAAAGGTACCAAGAAGCCTGAATCTGGGCAGCATTGGGCTGGGGTGACTGACGCAGTGAGAGATGCCACCAAGATTCCCGCGTGGGCAGGTGTGCCGTTGGTCGTTGGGCAGCCAGAGTCCGGGATGGGGAGCAGCGGGCACCTCTCCTCTGGACCAGGGCTCGATCTCAATTTCTCCTTCTACCTCCAGCTCCAGCGTCCCCCTGAATGTTCTGCACGTGCTGAGATTCCTCCAGAAAAGACTCCAGGGGTGCTTGATAACAAACCTGGAAGGTAGGGCCAAAGGTGGTGGCCGATGTGGTCAGCCTGGGTTCAGGTGCTGGGGTTGTCATGGGGAGCTGTGGGGGAGGGGGTCCATCTCAGACAGCCAGGGGTGGCTGTGGAGTGTCAGGCAGTGCAGAGTCGGGGTGGGAACAGGCTTGCTGAGGTATGGCGTGCCCCAGGAGCTCTGAGCTGGTATCAGGGCCCTCTCACTGCCCGTGTCTGGGTGTGTGGAGCGCCCAGGAGCTCTGAGCTGGGAGCAGGGCCCTCACGCTGCCCGTGTCTGGGTGTGTGGAGTACCCAGGAGCGCTGAGCTGAGAGCAGGGCCCTCACGCTGCCCGTGTCTGGGTGTGTGGAGTGCCCAGGAGCGCTGAGCTGGGAGCAGGGCCCTCACGCTGCCGGTGTCTCAGTGTGTGGAGTGTGCTCTCTCACTCCCTGCACTGTGCCTTCTGCAGACCCCGCCAGGGAAGACCCTCCTGGGCCGCCCTGCAGGTGCCCACTCCGAGAGGCACATCCTGTCCCTAGCTGGGCCAGGCCTCAGCTCACCAGGTTTCCTGCCCTCTCCCCTGGAGTTCTGTATTTATGGCAAAAATATTTAGAATAAGCACAAGCCAGGCCGGGCGCGGTGGCTTAAGCCTGTAATCCCAGCACTTTGGGAGGCTGAGGCGGGTGGATCACGAGGTCAAGAGATCGAGACCATCCTGGTCAACATGGTGAAACCCCGTCTCTACTAAAAAATACAAAAAATTAGCTGGGCATGGAGGTGCGTGCCTGTAATCCCAGCTACTCAGGAGGCTGAGGCAGGAGAATTGCCTGAACCCAGGAGGCGGAGGTTGCGGTAAGCCGAGATCGCGCCATTGCACTCCAGCCTGGGTAACAAGAGTGAAACTCCGTCTCAAAAGAAAAAAAAAAAAAAAGAATAAGCACAAGCCAAAATCGCACAGAAGCCCCGCTCTGCACGGGCTCCTGCCTGCCCTTGAAACACCCCGTTCTCCTTGCTCCTCTGTGGTCAAGGGTCTCACCAGGGGAGGGCTCACTAACATCAAGTTCAATGGCAACCCTCAGGCCCACGGGCTCCACTGTCCACGCAGAAAGGTCCCGGGGTGCCAGGGAACGGCACACACAGCTTTGGGATGACTGGCTCCCCTCTCTCCTGTGAGGCCATCCTGCCCTGAAGTCACTCCGGGCAACCTGGTGGCTCTTCTCGCCCCAGGTGGTTAAGTGGGTCAGTGGAAGCCTTAGCCCAGAGGTAGGTCAAGGGGAATTAAAAACTGAAAAGCAAGATTCAAACCTGCACTTCACTTATTTATTTTTTTTTAAAAAAAAGATGGGGTTTCACCATGTTGGTCAGGCTAGTCTTGAACTCCTGACCTCAGGTGATCTGCCCGCCTTGGCCTCCAAAGTGCTTGGATTACAGGCGTGAGCCACCACGCCCAGCCGCATTTCACTTTTTTTTAAAAGACCTGAAATCTTTGCGGGTGCACCTGTATTACCGGGCTGGGGCTTGACCCCTGTGGGCAGGTGTCACCCAGCCTCTTGCATGGAGATTGACAAAGAGGCCCTTGTAGAATTCTGGACTTTCCACCATGCTGTGGGGCTTTCCATCCCAGCCCCTTGCCCCGGGGCGATCCAGAGCCACCAAGGCTCTCTGGAGGAGGCCCTTGTGACACAGACCCCTGGAGGGGAGTGAGGGGCCAGGGGCTTGGCCCTGTCTTCAGTGGGGCTGATGCCTTTGTGGGGCTGAGCCTCAGTTTCCCCAAGAGGCGCCTGGGCAGCAGAGCTTTGGGACAGTATTGGGCTCCATACCTGAGCCCCGTGTCCTCAGATGGAGCAGAAGGGCTCAGCAGCCCCTTCTCCCACATCCATGCTGTGCCCTAGGACGCCTGCAGGCCTGGCATGCCCGGGCTGGGCCCTGAGAGCTTTGTGATTCTGCTCACTCCATCAGCAGAATGGTCTCCTTAGGTCTTCATCGGGATTGGTGCCATCCACAGATGTGGAAACTGAGGTCCACTGTGGGGAAGAGCTTGGCCAGAGTCATGCAGCTGCTAAGGGGCAGAATCATGACTCAGGCCTTGATGTACGGAGGACAGAAGCTCTCCAGGTCCAGGCTCCTGCTGTGCTGGGTGCCCCTTGGGTGCCCAGGTCACATCAGGTGTTCCCAGCCTGCAAAGACAGCGGGCACTGCTCGTGTGATGCATGCAGAATTTGGGAGAAGCCAGGTCCCAATGGCAGAGCAGGGCAGAGGCTGGAGGGGGCTCAGCCTTGGCGCCTCAAACAAGCCTGGATTCTGTGCCTTCTCCCCTGCTGCAGGTGGAGGCTTGTGGAGCCCTGACCAGGGCCCTAGGCCCTGCCCCCACAGCCTGGCCAGGTGGTCTGGCATCAGGGGAGGTGTGGGTCTCTGGAGGACACTTTGTGAGGACCCTAGAACCCTCCTGGCCACCAGCTTCCTCACTAGGCCTCAGTTTACCCACTGTGGAGAGGAAGTTGCCTCTGCTTGTTGAGGGTGGGATGGCCATTCCACATGGGTGTCCAGGTCTGGGAGGCAGCCCTGAGCACCAGTGAGCTCCCACGCACCCCTGCTCAGCCTACGGCATGAGAGTGGGGTCCCTGTTCTCTCCCCTGCCACTCCTCTTGCCTCAAACCTGCCCCCCTGGCTGTGCCTCAGTTTCCCTGGTCTGGCCTCTCCACTGCGGTCCACGGTGGGTATGTGTCAGACAGCATCGCTCTTCTCAGTGAACTAGAGGATGGTGGTGACAGAGATTCTCTTCCTTTTTGCAGAATTAACCATCTGCCTGGGAGAATTACCAAACGGCCCAGCTGGTGGGTGGGGTCCCTCTTGGTGGACAGGCCCTGGGAGAACGTAGCCCTGCCCTCTGCCCTGGAAGCCCACCTGCTATGAGGAGAACGTTGGTCTCCCCCCAACATTCGTATGTTATATCCCCACCTCCAGGGTGATAGCAGTAGGTGGTGGGATGTTTGGGAGGTCATTAGGTCGCAAGGATTCTGCCCTCATGAACAGATTACTGCCCGTATAAAAGGAGTCTGGTGGCCGGGCACAGTGGCTCACACCTGTAATCCCAGCACTTTGGGAGGCCGAGGCAGGTGGATCATCTGAGGTCAGGAGTTCGAGATCAGCCTGGCCAGCATGGTGAAAACTTGTCTCTACTAAAAATACAAAATTAGCCAGGTGTTGTGGCTCATGCCTGTAATCCCAACTACTCAGGAGGCTGAGGCAAGAGAATCACTGGAACCCGCGAGGCAGAGGTTGCAGCGAGCCGAGATCTCGCCACTGTACTCCAGTCTGGGCCACAAGACTAAAATTCCGTCTCAAAAAATAAAATAAAATGTTTATTCAATAAGGGCACTGTCAGGAGAGTGAAATGGATGAAAGTGAATATTTGAAATATCACATATCTGATAAGGGTCTAATATCCAGGACATATAGAGGACTCTTAAGACAATCCAATTAAAAACTGGGCGAAGGACTAAAATAGACACGTCTCCAAAGAAGGCAGGCACATGGTCACCAAGCACATGAAAAGATGCTCAGCAGCTTCAGTCACCAGGGAAGTGCAAACTAAAACCAAATGAGGCTGGGCACGGTGGTTCAGGCCTTAATCTCAGCACGTTGGGAGGCTGAGGCAGGTGGATCACCTGAGGTTGGGAGTTCGAGACCAGCCTGACCAACATGGAGGAACCCAGTCTCAACTAAAAATACAAAATTAGCCTAGCGTGGTGGCACACACCTGTAATCCTAGCTACTCAGGGGGCTGAGGTGGGAGAATCGCTTGAACCCAGGAGCGGAGGTTGTGGTGAGCCAAGATTTCGCCATTGCACTCCAGCCTGGGCAACGAGAATAAAACTCCACCTCTAAATAAATAAATTAATTAAAAAGCCGGGCGTGGTGGCTTATGCTACCGCGCTTATCCCAGCACTTGGGGAGGCCAAGGTGGATGGATCATGAGGTCAGGAGTTTGAGACCAGCCTGGCCAACACGGTGAAACCCTGTCTCTTTTTTTTTCTCTCAGGTCAGACGGGTAATGTGCAGA